ATATGACACACCATCTCTAAGGGCTCAATCTAAAATTCAATCATGAAAATTCCTATTTTGGCTAGCTGAGAGTGTTGGCCATGTTTCTATGTCCCATTTTCCCTATGTGTAAAATGGAAATAGAGTTCTAAGGCAAAATCTTTAAAAAACATTTTATTTAAAAAATATTATTCAGTATCATTGCTTTTTTCTGGGTGCATACTTCCATGAATTTTAACAAAGAAGCACAATCAGGATACAAAAGAGTTTTATCAGCCCTCAGAACACCCTCATGCTATTCCTGTATAGTCATACTCCCTTCCCATCCATTTGGCAATTGCCCACTTTTTTCTTCAAACCTATGGCTTGTCTTATATTGTATGTCAATGTAAATTCAGTCTCACAGTTTGTAGCTTTTTGAGAATGGCTTCTTTTACTGGGCATGATATCTTCTTGGGATTTATCAATACTTCTTTTTTTTTGCTACGTAGTATTCCTTTGTTCTACAGTTTGTCCATTTACTCAATTAGGGACATTTGGATTGTTTCCAAGTTTTGGCAGTTATGAATACAGCTGCTGTAAACATTCATGTACAGGTTTTTGTGTAAACATAAATTTGCCTTTCTCTAGGGTAAATATCCAGGAGTGGATCAAGGCATATGCAGTTTTTTTTTTTCTCAAAATATGAATATCCAGAATTCGCCAGACAGTTGCCTTAGTCAATTATATTTGAAAGGATCCTATAATATGAATCTATAGTAACAGGGAACTTAGTAAAAGTTTCCATGATGATGTTACCAGAGGCTACTGAAGGAGCAATGAGCTTATTATAAACGATAAAGTTACTGTATTTGTTATGTTCCTCTGGTTAAAATAATTCTATTTGAGATGAAATGTAGTTGCCATGTTTTTTGTCTTCGCAGTCAGACATAATATCCCCTTTGGTAAACTTTAGATAATGTGTCTCATGGGACAGAGCAACATCAGTTAATTAAACGTCACTTAGGACAATGATGGGCTTAGAGGAAGCATAGTATATACGTGTACATTGGGGAAAGCCAACACTTTTTTTTAAAGTCTCTTTTGAGCATAACAAATGTTAATTGGTTTAGATATGTTAGTAGTGTTTTACTGAATCCCTCAGAATCTTATTTAGTGACTGACAGAAGAAAAGACTTCAAAAAAAAAAAAGATGTAGATTATATCCATGAGAAATAAAACTCACTTATTTTCCTCAAAAAAGGGCTATTAGGCGTAAGATACAAGGATCAGTCACCTTCTCATTAACCTCTCAAAATAAATCTATTTCAAGCCAGACTTAAAATGTTTTCTCTCTAAAAACTACCATGTGGTCTAACAGTTAATTGTTATTCTTATCAAAGAATGACCCACATTAACATTTACTTGGGGTCATTAGCATATTTATAAAAAAGGGAGAGAAATGAGCATTCTTTTCTCTTCTGGTCTTTGTTATGGAGGAAAGTCATGAGAAAAAAATGAAGTACATATTTACCAACATTTTACACTAATCTATAAATATCAAAATTCCTATACCTACCATGGTCTTGAACTGGCAGACTAGTGATCAGATTTTAATCGCATTTAGTTGCAAGAGGATTTGGGGCCACTGTGCTTTTTTGTTTTTCTCAATGCAACTGGTGTTAAACTAGATAACAAAGACCTCAGGGCTGAGGACAGAGGTCACAAAAATAATCTCTTCATTTAGGTACAGTGAGATTAATGACTGGAGCATAACACTCTTTATTTCATGAGATTGCTTTTTTCTTTTCTCTTGACACCGTAGTAGGCATTCTAATACTATGAAAAATGAACTACTTAAAAAGAATCAAAATTTGGCACATGCTAAATAGTTTGAGAGATATTAAACATGCTTTAGGTCTGAAGAAACATGTATTTATATATACAGACAATAAATATTTTAAAAACTCTTGCTCTAAAAACTATTAAAATGCTTTATAATATCAATGAGAACTTCTGAGCTTCCAAGACTTATTTCATTTTTAAGGAAAATGTTCAATTTTATTTTGAAACCTAACAAAAATAGATTGTGCTGTCAGTTCAAAATCTGACTACTTGCGTTAACATTGAGAGTCACTGGCAAGTCTCTTGAGTTAGAAGCAGGGATAGAGGTAACTAAATATTTTCCATTAATTTTAAGGGACAGAGGATATTTTGTAGTTTTAATAGTTTCTTGTAAATCATAACATCAAAATTTTTAATGTGATGTGGAAATGAAAACACTATTATTTAGTTCCATGCTCAACTTGGTCTACTGGTGTGAAGAATGGTAGGAATTGAACCAAAATGTCCATCTCATCACTGTAATTATAATTTTATATCAATTTTTTATAAGCAAAGGCAGATATGAACCACACACGAAAACTCCCCAAATGTAAGTTATTTTGAGAAAGTAAAGCATTTAACAGTATTTGATCCATTGTTAACACTGTGAGTTGTAGTATAAAGAAGTTTAACAGTTTTCTACAAAATCCTTATTTCCATATATATTTTTATTTTTTCTTACTTGGAAAATCTGGTTTACTAGAACATTTTTAATTTTGAAATATTTTTCATAGAGAATAAGAAATGACAGCAATGTTATATAAACATACGTTTTTTCCTATGAATTGTAAGGAAAAATAATGAGTGAAGGTTCTCTGCCTTGGGTAAATTTGAACAGCATTTAATCAGTACACCTGAAACCGCCTTTGCAAAAATTATGACAGTAAGAAAATTCTGACAATGGAAAATTATGACAGTGAAAGATATCTGACCTAATCAATTCCATCTAGTCTCCAAGCTACCGTTGTCTATTCCTGGGCATAGGCCAAGATAACTATGGGAGGTATGTAGTTTCCTGTTTAGCTTCAAATCAATGATGACAGCCCTTTTCTGAAACAAACTCACTCCTTGCTTGGGGAGCAAAACATCTTTATAAAACTAACAAATTAGTCACAGAAACTATGAGTCAGGTGTTTATGCCACCAGAGGCCACATGATTCCTAACCTTCCCAATTGCTCCCATAGATAACATCACTATTGTAAAACCTAAGATTGGACTTCAAGGTATTTTTCAGACTCTTTATTCTGATGAACCGGCTAGCATCACCCAGACCAATAAACTGGCTCATCTGATCTTGCAGTCCCTATCCAGGAACTGACTAAGGGCAAGAAGACAGTTCTGACTCCCTATAAGTTTATAAGCATCCCCCATTCCCTATAAGCATCCCCCATTCCCTAGCCCTATGCTCACCAAGCTATCCTGAAAAAAACCTTAGGTTTTGAATTTTCTGGGAGGTTGTTTTGAGTAAAAACTCCTGTCCTGTTAGTTGGTTCTGCATTTATTAATTTCTTTCTCTATTGCAATATCACTGTCTTGGTAAATTGGCAATATCTGTGCAATGGGCAAAATAAACCCATTAGGTGATTACGCTCCTTCTACATTTGCTAGTATTTTCCAGGAAAGACACTGGGTTAGACAATGTCTCATTTCACATGCCTTGGATGGATATAGTTATATAGAACACAAAGTACACTGAAGCAGATGTTGGGCATAAATTTCACCTTAAACTAGATATCTCAAAACATTTAGCTTTCCTATGGCCTCCAAAACTTAGTTTTCTTCTCTTTCTCCGATATCCATTTCCTGCTCTTTGAAGGAGATATCAGTATCAAACTTAAGTAGCAGAAAAAATTTGTATTCTCAATTACTTGTGCAGGATAAATAGTAACTGACAATGGTAGTAATGAAGAGTTTAGAAGTCTGAAATAGTCCTTAAAAAAAAATTGTCAACACATGTTGATACTTTTTGGTTAAAGAGGCAGTAAAATACTCAAAAAAGCATAGATTTAGGAGACAGACCTATATACACATTTTAGTTCTTCCACTTCTATTCACGTCTATGAATCTGGATATGTTATTGATCCTCTCCAAAATGGTTTCCTTACTTGTAAACTGCAGAGAAAATACCAATTCCCCAGAGTTGTGAAGATTCTATAAGGTATCCTATGTAAAGCCTTTAATATGGAGACTGCGAGAGACTTGGTACTTTAAAAATGCCAGTTGTTGGCCAGGCATGGTGGCTCACACCTGCAATTCCAGCACTTTGGGAGGTTGAGGCAGGTGGATCATGAGGTCAAGAGATTGAGACCATCCTGGCGAAGTTGGTGAAACCTCATCTCTACTAAAAATACAAAAATTAGCTGTGCATGGAGGTGTGTGCCTGTAGCCCCAGCTACTCAGGAGGCTGAGGCAGGAAAATTGCTTGAACCCAGAGGTGGAGGTTGCAATGAGTTGAGATGCCACTGCACTCCAGCCTGGCAACAGAGTGAGGCTCCGTCTCAAAAAAAAAAAAAAAAAAAAAAAAAAAAAAAAAGAGCCAGTCGTTATTATCATCATTGCCAATCATATTCACTAGGCATTGTTTTATGTAGTTGAAATTTGGAGCAAAATAGCTAGCTAAGTTGGCTAATGGTAAAAAGGAGGGAAGGAAAAAATCCACTTTGCCACTCTTGCCTGACTTATAACGATGAGAGAATACTTCCAGTGGCCTAGAATTCTCACAAATGAAATTTGCTGTAACAATCTATCCAGGAACAATGCATGTGTAGTTCATATTAGAAATGGAAGAAGTGGGAAACAGCTTCATGGAGTGGAACAGTCAGCAATTCACAGATTTAACAGTGAAAATATATAATCATGTTAATTAAAAAAAAAAAAAAGCAAGATAAAAGTAGTTAACCAGGATCTCCAGATTTATTTCTTTTTGTAGTAGATATTATAAATTCCTGTGTTATCTCTTTTTCTAATATTTAGCCTTGCTTATATTTTAACAAAGAAGAAGGAAGAAATAATATTTAAAGCAGGCCAATACCTATGTGTTTGTGGTTCAATTTTTGTTGGGGTGGTGGAGATATTTGAAATAGTTCACTGACATGAATCACCTGTTTATATTCTCAGATTCCCAAAGTTTTTGAGTACACCTGGAAATAATCCTTACCTGGTAGAATTCTAGCATAGTATCCAGAGCAGCACTGATGATCTGGTTGTGCCTCTTGTATTCGGCCACCACAACAAACTCCGGTAGAATTTACAAAGAACGGGATATACTTTTCTTCACAACAGTGGTGGCCAGGCTTGGGGTTATAGAGCACGCCGTTACAACAAACCTGAAAGTTTGAAATCAGTTTTAAAGAGATATCAGTTTAGTTAAGAATATTATGCCACTATATCTCATGTAATATAATTATTTTCTTATGAGGCATTGATCTGAGACATTATTACTCATATTTCATTGGTTTAAAAATGTGTTTTCTAGGATCATTCAAATTTTATAAATGTCATTTCAAAGAATACATGTTTTTTGAAGTATTCAGCCATTCTTTGTGCCCTATGATGATACTCTAAATATGAATTATCTTTTGAACATCAGTGCTGCTGAGGTAAAAATGTTTAGAATTTTAAATGAACAATTTCCTTAATATATATATATGTTTCTTTAAATGATTGATTTTAAAACACCACATCTATGGATATTGTCTCTTATTGATCCTTTTTCAAAGTAAATTGGATTTTTTCTTATAATTTGTATGATCACTTATTTGTGAACCCAATCTTCAAACAAGGCAATCACAACAGAGTCCAATATTTGCAAGTATATGTGTATATATACATATCTCATAAGCCACTACATTTAAAAAAGGAAATCTATATGGAAATTAATTTTGAAAAGCCCTTTTAACTCTGTTTTCTTTAGTAACTGTGAAAAAAATTATGTGCTTCAACAATCAAATAATTATTTGCATACTCACTTAAGGTCTGAGAGACTGACACACTGTATACAAAAAAACGAAACAATGAACAGTTGCTAATACGTAGCCTCAGAACTCTTCCATGGAATAAATTGCACTAAATGGCTAGACATTTCCTGTGGTAGGCAAAAGCAACCACTATGAGGCGTTTCTCTCTTTTTTTTTTTTCATTGCTACCTACAAAGTGTGCCAACATTTGAACCAATTCAACACAGGAATGGTAGAATGTACAATCTCTAAATCTTCAACAAAGCCACTAGTTTAGTACTTCACTCATTTTTCAAAACTTATCTAAAAGTAAAGAAGTTAAGCTCTTAAATTCAAAGTCTACCATTGTGGTTCCTCAGGTGGCCTTGCTAAACCAACTGTAATGCATTTCTTTCATTTAGTTATTGGCAATAAGGATTCAATTTTTTTCTAATCAAAAGGATAAATTTGGTGACTGCTCCCTTGGATGTCATATTCTGTGTGAAAAGTAAATTTCAAAATTATGCCCTATTTTAAAAGTTAAGCAAGAAACATTCTCTGTGTTTTATTTGGGATTTGTGAATGCTGATAAAGTAAAACAGCATGCACCTCCCTCTTGTTTTATTATAGTGACCTAAAATCTTGCCATTTGTTTTTGGTCTTGAAGCATTTATTAAAGTCCCAGTCACATAGAGTTTGTTTCTGGACACAAGCACGTACAATATTTATCAGTTGGATAAATATTGATAAATGCTGGATAAAAAGCAAGTTTATCCAGTACTTTTCACCTTCTTTTGAAATTATTCCTCAAAGTGATGGGCCATTAGGACTGGTTCACTTCTATGTTTTCATTATCAATGCTTTCTCAGGCTCCATCAGCCAAGTAAAACACATGCCTTTCTTCTAAGCCACTCTGGTTCAGATTATTGATGGGTCCCAAAGGGGACTTTTGCAAGCAATTGTTTCTCTTGGGGATTCTCTCCATAAACAGAATACTTCCTAACTGAACTCAGTCTTCAAGTTAGTTATCTCAGACAACATAAATGAAAATTTCAATAACTTGAATTAATTTGTGTGTGGCTAATTTTCAAAAAAGTGGCCTCTTCCTTGCTCAATGGTTTCTAAAAGCATGTTTCTAATCCAGTGATTCTCAAAAAGTGTGGTTCCTGGACCAGTTCCAGATACATCACTTGGTCATACAGTTTGGCTCTGTGTCCCCACCCAAATCTCATGTTGAATTGTAATCCCCATGTATTAGGGAGGGACCTAGTGGGAGGCGATTGGATCATGAGCGCTGTTCCCCATGCTGTTCTTTGTGTCTTTTTATTTCAAAAATTAAAATGATTTTTATATATGTCTTTTTAATATAAAATTTTTATTATGTAATAAAAAAATTTATCTTTTTACTTTGATGTATCTTAATTTTTTGACTCACCTAAAAATTTTTATATAAAATTTATTAAATATATTTGTTATATGTTATTTTATAATAAAAGATATGTCTATTTTTTATTATCTAAAATTTTACAATAAAAAGTAAATATAAATTTAGAATATATGTTTATATATTCTTTCCAATCTTTCATGCCAGGAAATGTATCTTAGTACCTAGCCTCAAACAGAAGCTTTCAAATTTTTTCTTATAATTTAACTGACTTCCTTTATTCTCTTTTACTGCAATACCTGTGTTGCCTCTTTAATTCCAACAATAAAAATAAGACTTTGTTTAAGGCATCATTAAAAAGTATGTCTCTTTTTGTTGTAATAATATATGACATTTGCATTACAGGATCAACCAAATGTGATGTTTCTTTTCAAGACTATGAGGTGAGATTTGCACACGTGTTTTCTAAAGGCTAACTTTTTGCTTCTCTATTCTTCAATTTACATTCATTTTCTATAAAAGGTGACCTGTATGATTTTTTTTTTGTAGAGAAGATTTGTCTTAGTCATCTTTTAAAATTGATTAAAAATTAAACTAACCAGTTCTTTGTCATTCATTGAATTTAGAAATGTTACACCAACCAGTCATTTATTTGGTACAAAACTTCATTAAATTTCTTCAAAAGTTAGAAAAAGCAGTTTCTGAAATCACTGCTTAAAGGAAGATAGAAGCAATTTTAGAAATAATTTAGCCTAAAATAGGTAATTATTATGCTGTTAATACTTTATTAAATATATTTTTTTCTTCACACCATTAATTTTTCTTCACCCTTTCATAGGTATATTTTAATTTAATATGGACATTTTAAGAGCATCTACCTTTTGATCTTTTCGAATAAACTTAAATTGAAACATTATCTTTACTAGTTTTATTCTACTTAGCTTTGATTTTACCACTAAAGTTATGGGATTGAAACTTATAAAATCCATATGCAAACCTAAACTACTATGACAATTTTTGGCCAGAATTAGTTTTTATTTTAATGAAACACATTGTTTTCTGCACTGGACAAACTTTAAATCATTAATTCACATGCCTATACAACTATTCTCTCTTCATCAACTTCTTACTGGGTAATGCAAATGTCAAACATATTATTTTAAAATAATGGAAACAAAAAGAATTGAGAAGTGAATTCTGTATTTTGCCAATATTTTCCCAAGATTTTTTTTTAAATGAAGAATATGTTTAATGGGCAAATTTATTTTAGTATTTTTCTTTTCAAAAATCCTAAATTTAATTTTATACAAATATGTTTATCAGATGTGCATATGTGCATATTTAAATATGTGCATACTTAATGGAGTAAAATGACGTCAAACTTAGGCATAATGATAATTTTAGAGTGTAAGTATCAAAAATACATAGTAACTGCTGGCTTTATGCATTTCTTAGATGATAACTATTGCTAAACTTGTGTCAGCTATAATAATTTGTAATTTGATCCATATTGCTTCAGTAACTCACTTTCTTAATTACTGTTTTATTTTGCAGTAAATCTTATAAATTTAGTGGTAGCTTTAGTCATTGAATGTGTGAGAGGCTGTTGTTGACAAATAGGAACATTAGTTCATTATATGAAATTCTACCTTTAAACTAAGGATTTTCTGTGTTGTCAATAAATGTCATTTACAAACTCCTCTGTCTGGCTGTATTATTGATCTGATTTCTAAACAGCATCTAAAATGAACATTAATCTGCAAATGACTATAATTCTAAAATATTTCTGACAAATCTTAAAATGTGCTGTTCATAGTTACTCATCAGTGTCACGTAAACAAACACCCATTTGTAGCTGAAAAGATCTGCTGAAAAGAAAATTTCAAGTCATTTGATCAAATACAAAAGGATGTATCCTATTCTAATAAATTTATGTTTCCTGTGAAAGGAGTAAAAAGTGGGAAGGCTAAAGTGCTCATGAAGGTGATAAGATTTTTGTAAGCATCCTTTCTTCTGCATGGAGTCTTCTTCATAGAGTAGAGGAAGTATTGACCATGATATACCATGATGTGAGAAGCGAATAATTTTAGTTGGAGTCTTGAGTGAGAAAAACATAGTTCACTGATTAGTTTGAAAAGATTTACCTTAGCTTCAGGAGAATAGCAAATGTGTCCACAGATATATTCAGGTTTTTGACACCTCACTGCCTTGCAGAGCTCATCACTGTGGTCCTGCATTAATTTCTGAGTTTTAGGGCATGGATACCATGTTTTCCATAGGAGATCATATCCAAGAATGATGCCATTTGGCTTCCCTGGAGATTCCCAATCAATTTGAAGAGATCTGCAACAGATAGAATAATCAATACTTCTGAAAAGACACCATTTAACATTGCTGCTATCAGTCTTACTTTTCAATTAATTTTCCAGATTGATCCAAAGATCTCTTTCATCAATAACCTCATAAAATGTGGCAGCAATAGATAAGAATATATATATATATATATTCATATATGAAATCATATATTTTCAAATAAATCAAAACTATGTTAGCTTTTGGAAGAATAACATGTGGTGTGAGTGCAGTGGTTTATCACTTTAAGTTTCAAACACAAGAAGTAAATACCACTACGGCTAATTAGGAAAATCAGAGCATTTTGTTTGGTAAGCGAAGATAAGACATACATGACTTGGTAAATGAAGTGACAATTAGAATATGTGGCAACTTGATGCCTACTTCTAATCGCTTCTCCCTTGCCTTACCTTAGCTAGGAGTAGTGATACAAGAACATTGTGATAGATATGGATGTTCTTAGGAAAGTTTTCTTGAAACAGCTGCCACCTCCTTTTCTCTTTCTTTCTGCTAAACATGATGTCTACAACTTCAGCAATCATCTTTTAGTCATTTGAGAAAGTCCATAAGAATCAAAAGATTCCACCATTATATTTGGCATTGCTGAACTAGTTCCAACAACTATCCACAGCAGACCCCTGAACAAGATGAAATTGAACTATGAGGATCCACTTACAGGTAGATTTTCTTCCATCCTGCCACCTATGAGACAGCAAGGCCAACTCTTCCTCTTTCTTCTCCTACTTAGTCTACTCAGAATAAAGATAATGAGGATGAAGGACTTTTATGATGATCCACTTCCGCTTACTGAACAGTAAATATATTTTCTCTTCCTTATGATTTTGTTAATGACATTTTCTTTTCTTTATCTTACTTATTGTAATAATATAGTATAAATCTACATACAAACTATGTTTTAATCAATGTTTTATGTTATCAGTAAGGCTTCTGGTCAACACTAGACTATTAGCAGTTAAATTTTGGGAAAGTTATATGCAGATTTTCAACTGTGTGGAGATCAGCAGTCCTAACCTCTGTATTGTTCAAGAGTCAACTATGTATCTAGAACTATTTACTTAGGTTTTTTTTGCCTGGTGTTTTGGTACTTGCAGCCAAAATAAATGCCCAAATTGAGAATTTTATAGTTAATAACTTATTTAAAATCTATTTTGTGGCTGGGCACATGGCTCACGCCTGTAATTCCTGCACTTTGGGAGGCTGAGGCGGGCAGATCAACAAGGTCAGACATTTGAGACTAGCATGGCCAACACGGTGAAGCCCCGTTTCTACTAAAAACACAAAAAAATTAGCTGGGCGTGTGGCACATGCCTGAAATCTCAGGTACTCAGGAGGCTGAGGCAGGAGAATTGTTTGAATCCAGGAGGCGGAGATTGCAGTGAGCTGCGATAGTGCCACTGCACTCCAGCCTGGGCAACAGAGCAAGACTCCATCTCAAAAAAACAAAAACAAAAAGAACTTTGATTTGCTATATCTTAATTTTCTGACTCACCTAAATAGATTCAGTTTCTTTTTTCAATAACTCTTTAAATAGCATGGTCAAACATGGGTTTTTTTGGTCAAAAATATAGTAGACAGAGATTCCCATAAGAAGTATGTTTACATTATCATGTTCTTAAAGAAAATGTTTGATTTAAAAAAATCGAGTGATAATTTCATTTTAAACCCAAGCAGAAAGTTTTTCTGAGAGGCAGGGTTTGGTATACAATGAAGCTATAACATCTGATCAAAATTTTACTGCATTTTCAAAGATCTATTAATATTTCATTTGCTGTAGCAAATGAGGTCGTAACATACAGCTGTTCACAGAGGAGACAACCCTGAATAAAATGATTTACCCTCAGGTTAATGTTATAGAACTTAAATTCTGCACTTAGGTTTACTTGCCAGAAAAATACTGCCTAGGCCACACTTCTATGCCATCTTTAGTATTTGCTTGATAATCTCTCTAAGAAGAAAGTAAAGTTTTTAATAAAGCCCCAGAGATTTGAACATGACATATTCTTGCAATGTAGCACAGCAAAGAAAACCTCCTCTTTGTGAAACATATGGTAAATGTAAAAATCATAATAATTTTTTCTCATTGTTTTCAAAAAAGTGGGTGACACTCTGACATTCAAGATTAGTTCATTTTTTTATGATTCTAGTATTTCCAGCCATAATAATTAACTAATCACAAATATCTGTAGGGTGCACTTTACATATAAAGCATTAGCATTCCCATATACACTTTGGAATGAAGCAAGCACATAAGAGCCTTGTCTTTCTATTTCAAAAGTTAAACCATAAAAACCTCACAACTTATCTTGGATGCTTTTTTGCTATTATGTAAAATAACATTTCAAATATACATTTCATTGTAAGGAAAAATATATCTTTGTAGGCCAAATTACTGGACCCTATCAGAATTCCAAGTGACATCACATATTAGGAATTCAGTTAAGCCCAAACATTTACATTAAAAAGCAGCAGTCGACACTTTAGATAGATAAAGATAAACCTCGACACTTTAATAGACTGCTAAAAAAAAAAAAAAAAGAAAATTATTATTTCAGTTTTGTGGAGGTACAAACATAACACATTCAGTAATAAGACTCTGTAGATAGAAAATTAATGTCACCTATGAGAGAACAGTTTCATAGGTGACTTGTATAGTCACAGTTATTATTCTAAAGTCTTTATCCAACTTCCACAATTAATTCCACATACTGCAGATATCTCTTTTGTATTCACTGCATAATCAACTACAGAAAAGATTACATTTAAGTGATATTAAAGAGTTTGACTTATCTACAAAAGCTCATCAAGTAGTAAAGTCTAGAAAATACCATGCAGAGCACCATCCACGCCATTATAACTTCTATTTCTTGTGCAACATAACTGCTAGGGGAGACCACCTGTATTTTCAGTGAGAACATGAACAGTTTGTTTTTGAGGATTTAATCAGTAGATGAAGAAAAATGATTAATAAGAGTAGTGGGTTTAACATCTGTACATCTCTCATTAAAGCCAACTAGAGAGACAATGAAAACTCCTTTGGTTGCTGCTCTGAAAATGAAAAGCATTTTTGAGAAATATGCATCATTATTAGCTGGATTAATAGTTTCATTGCTTTGATGTTTAAGAGTAAATTAGAAGGAACATTCTTCAATCCCAGGAACGGATGTTAAATATTGAAGAAAACGAGATGAAGGCATTTTTGGGCACTCATGCATAAACATAAAGAGATTGCAAATCTTTGAATGAATTTTTTTGGTAGACTTGTTCATGAAATGATCGTTAGAGTTTTTTTAGATTTAAAGCACTAGGGACTGAACTTTAAGATACCTAAATACAACTTCTGATATAAGCCACTATGTCTGCACACATTTTTTTCTCTCTCAAATCTTTGGGTTACATACTCTTGTATTTTCTTGTTCCTTCCTATTCACACACAAACACATACACACACAACACAAACACACAACATTGTGGATGATGCATTGCAAAGTCTGTAGGCTGAATTATGTTCCTCTGAAAGTAACAGGCTTTACTAGAAGTCAGTTAAATTACAGGTGGATTACAATCTCGGGGAAGCTTGGAGTTAAAAAATATTTTTTAATCAATACATAATAGATGCACACATTTTAGGCTACACATAAGAATTTAATACATTCATATAATTTGTAAAGGGCAAACCAATGTATTTGGTATATCCATCACCTTAAATATTTGCTTTTTTCTTCAAGCAAACAACATTTAAATTATTCCCTTCTAGCTACTGTGAAACATTTAAAAGATATTGTAAACTACAAATCACCTTATCGATCTATCAAATACTACGTCTTATCTCTTCATTGAAACTGTAAATTTACATCCATTAATCAATCTATTCTTCGTCCCCATCTCCCCATGACCCTTTCAGGCCTCTGGTAATCACCAATCTACCGTCTTCATGAGGTTTACTTTTTAATCTCCCACATATGAAAGAGAACATGTAATGTTTGTTTTTCTATGCCTGACTTATTTCACTTAACATAATGACCTCCAGTTCCATCCATATTGCTGTAAATAATAGGAGTTTAGTCTTCTTTTTTAAATGGCTGAATAAGAGTCCATGTGTATACGTACCACATTTTCTTTATCCATTCATCTACTGATGGGCACTTAGTTAGGTTGATTCCATATTTTGGCTATTGTGAATAGCACTGCAATAAACATGGGAGTACCAGTGTCTTTTGAATACACTGTTTTCCTTTCTATTGGGTATATAGCCACTAGTGAATTGCTGCATTATATAGTAGTTTTAGTTTCATGAGGAACCTCCACACAATATTCTACAGTGGCTGTACAAATTTACATTCCCACCAACGGTGTAAATAGAGTTCCCCTTTCTCCACATCTTCACCAGTGCATCTATTATTTACTGCTTGTTTATTTTATTAAAGCTGTTTTATCTGGGTGAGATAAGGTTTCATTATGGTTTTGAATTGCTATTCTCTGATGATTAGTGATGTTAAACATTATAGACCTGTTGGCCATTTGTATGTCTTCTGAATAGGCATTAGGCAATAGAAATGCCTATTCAGATTTTTTGCCCATTTGTAATCAGAAGTTTTGTTTTTTTGATATTGAGTTTTTTAAGCTATTTATATATTCCAGTTATGAATTGTCAGATAGATAGTTTGCAAGTATTTTCTCCCATTCTATGGTGTGTCTATCACTTTGTTGATTGTTTCCTTTGTTGTGCAGAAGCTTTTTAGCTTGATGTAATCCCATTTTTCTGATTTTACTTCTCTTGCCAGTGTTTTTGAGATCTTACACAAATGCCTTTGTCTAGGCCATGTCTGGGAGCATCTGCCCAATGTTTTCTTCTATTAGTTTTACAGTTTCAGGTCTCAGACTTAAATCTTTAATTCATTTTGATTCTTGAATGTGGTGAGTGATAGGAGTCTAGTTTCATTCTTCTGCATATGAATATATAGTTTTCTCAG